TGATGAACCACTACCACTACTGAAGAGCTTGATCCAACATTCCAGAGAACCAGCTTGATCAAAGGGGGGGTGGGGTGGGAATGCACAAGAGAATTTCAGGGGTGACAGAGACAGGAGAGGGGCTTGAAATTATTGCCCCTCGTATACTGCCTTCAACTTTAAACCAAAAATATCCTCTGAAGTCATCTTGCATTAGCAAGTGAATAAAAACACTCTAAATGTTCATCAATAAGAGGCCGGGCGACTAAAGGGCACTCTATCCGCACCACAGCTGCACAAAACTGAAAACGCTGCGTATGGACGGGCATGGCATGAGGAGCATGGTGGCACAGTGGTTAAGCTCTCAGCTGCGAATCAAAAGGTTGGTAACTCAAACCCACCAGCCCCTCTGCAGGAGAAAGATGTGGCCACTTACTTCTGGTCAGATAGCCGCCTTGGGCAGTTCTACTCTGTCCTATAGAGTCCCTGTGAGTCAGAATCAACCCAAGGGAAGTGGAGTTTATGGAGGGGTGAGGGGCATACGGAGAAATCTATGGGCGTACTGTTAAGTTTGTTTTTAAGAGGCAGCAAAATATAAAATAATATATTTGACATGCGAAATGGCAGGGAAATGCAAATATAGGTACATATTTGCATACAGAAACACTAGAAGGGGGAGCCAAAATAGATACAAGATGAAATACATTATAACACATACAGCATCACCTATGAAGTATCTTTACCTATACAGATCCTGAGTCAAACTTCAGTTTCAAAGAATACTAGGGTTACAGAAACAAGTCAAAACCACCACTACTACCAACTATGTGGACAACCACCCTTCCGCCCAGAAGAATTCACTTCAGAGGACAGCAACTGAGGGACATGTCTGATCAGAGCACACGGGAGCAAATAAAGGGAAGGAAGAGAGAGTGGAATGTATCCTGGCCCACCAGGCCTGGAGGACGATATCTCCGCTCAGAACAGCCAATGCACAGAGTGGACCATATGGCTGATACCACTATGAGACCTCGCTGACCCATGGCCCTAGGGGACAGCACTGCAGACTCAGGTTCAGGATTGGCCCAGTCTGACCCCACCACACCAAGGTAAAACACTAAGGGTTTATGACAGAGTGGCATGGGGAGCAAAGCAGGGAGGTCCCAAGGGAGTGCAAAGGATAGACTTTGGGGCCATCGGACTCGACTGGAGGACACTCCTAGAGGTCAACAAACAGACTTTGAACTATTTATAGGTTTTTCCTTTTTTAAAAAT